CGTTTAATTTATCAAATTCTTCATTCGACATTCTTTGTCCACGATACAATGTTAATATTTCTGTTTTTTCATTATACAACCGCTTCCATTCATCCTCTAATTGTGAACATAAATCAATAATATAGAATCAAAATAGATAAAGTAACTCAACATCTTCTGTTCTCAACGCTTTATTCACTAATCGATAAACAAATGCATCGCGTGTATACCATTCAATAGCTTTATCTTTGTAATATGTTGTTTCAAATTCTTCAATTTTTTTCATTTCTGTTTCATTCCACGCATAATATTCTCTACATTTATCGAGCATATCTCGTTTGGCTTGATGTGTTTGAGGTAATTTTCGTAGAATATCGACCAATAGTTGAAACCACGTGAACGATCCCGAATCTTTTGACATATCACGTGTTGATTTTTGTTTTTGATGATCAAATAAACTGAAAGCAAGTGCTTGTTTCAATACTAAATGAACAGTTTTTCTTATGGACTGCACTAATGATTGTTGGTCCGTGAATATATCGATGATTTTTGAATATTTATCTGATAGTGGAACATGATATTTACGATCAATGGAAAAAATGAATATTGCAGTGATTAGAGATAATGAATGTATTTGAGGAAGAATAGATTGTAATAACGTGCCAGAAACAATCAAAACTACTTTTTCTTCGACGACTGCTCGAATATACTTTATACAAAGTTCGGAATCGATGTAGAGCAGAACGCAATTGTTCAGATCATGTAACAACGATTGTGTTTGAAGACTATCGGACGAATCATCGATATTTGAATCTAACCAAATTATTGTAACACCTTCAAGGTTGTCTTCAATTTCACTTGGTCGGCGATTACGTTTTCTTCTTACCGATGTGGTCATTATCGTCCATTCTAATCGAATTTTTCAGTTAGACTAAACCTATTAAGAAACGAAATTTGATTTAATGGTTAGTAGTCTTGAAAAGAAATCACCTGCTACACAAATAACTAAATTCGATCGACAACGAGAAGTGAATCTTACATAAATTTTTTATTTCTAACTTTCTTTTTGTAAACCTTTTCTTCGTCAACTTGTACACTAAATACCCAGATAATGAAAAAAAAGTGATTGACTGGCGGACCTTAGACATACCCGCAGACAGGGCGTCGTGTTTCGCTACCGGACATGTTGTTTAAGATGGGCATTAGGGCGGTCATCTTGATGTTGTCCGACAATGTTGATTTGGAATACTTAAAACCCGACAGGTGCGTAGTCACAACACTAGTCCAGACAGGCGTCCTCACCTGTCTTTTTCTGCGCATCCGGAAGTCGTCATCCCGTTCAAAAGTGACACTTTGCCCACACCTTTTTTGGCCTTGGTTACC